AGTTCCTCAAGGTTCTTTACTGGGTCTTCTCCTTTTTATTTTGTACATCGATGATATCCATTAATCCTCAAACCTACTTTAATTTCTTCCTTTATGCTGATGACTCCACTATTTTTTATTCTGACCATAATATCTAATCATTATTTGATACTGTCAACTCCAATCTGATTCCTTTGTCCCAATACTAAGCTGCTAATAAACTTTCAATTAACCATAGCAAATGTAACTTCATCCCGTTTGGGACTCCACAGGAGTTAAAGTGTATTGATACCACTCCTTTTAATTTTTTTCTCGATAAATATGACATACCCTCTGTTCAGTCAGCTAAGTTCTTAGGAGTTCATCTTGACAGTGGTCTTGCATGGAAAAATATCCACGAAATAGAGAACAAAATTTCAAAAAGCCCATTTGTACCCCATAATATTCTTCGTATTCTTTACTGCTCATTAATCATTCCTTATTTGAGCTACTGCAACATTGTTTGGGCAAAGCTATTAGAATTATATCTGGTGCTCCACCACTGTCTCATTCCTCTCCCCTATTCTCCAATTTAAACCTTCTCAAACTCCCTGATATTAACAATATTCAACAAGGTACTTTCTTAAACACTGCCATTAATTCTATTCTCCCTAACCATCTATGTAATATGTTTACCCTCAATCACTCCATTCACAATTATTGTACTCGATCCAGAAATGATATTCACATACCTAATCATAGCACCAACTATTTTCAACACAATATTAGATACACTGGCCCTATACTCTGGAATAATTTACCATCCTCAACTATAAACTCAATTTCCGTGAGGTCTTTTACTATTAAACTCAGGAATCACCTTGTTTCGCAATTCAAAAATTAATTTGTTCGTGACTCGTCTTGCTTGTGTGTGTTTGTGTTGTGTGTTGGTTTTTTTTTTTTTTTTTGGGGGGTCTGTGTGCCTTTGTGAGTTTGTGTTCAGGCCTGTCCAATACAAGATTTTTTTTTAAATGAATCTTCTCGGGCAAGTGCCTTTTTCCTTTTGATTTTGTTTCATAAACCCATCGTTTTTTAATGATTTCTGTTTTTCAAATGCAAATGGAAGAAAATAAAAGAGACAGAAATAAACCTTTATATATCTATACATCATGGCATGCTGTTATTTTCCCCATTTTTTTTTTAAATATTAAAACAAAAATTTTTAACAATTTGGTGATTTTTTCTGGCAAAGGAATGCCCAAAATCATAAACTTTATAAGCTGTTTTCTCAAATATTGTTTGTTTATAATTTAATTGTGCGGGATGTAATTCCGTTTATATTGGTGAAACAAATAAAGCATCTAACAAAACAAGCGACAAAGCATTTGACTCGGGACAAATATTTACATATCTACTATTAACGAATCTAACCTTAACGGATCTACTAAACACTGTCGTGGTTTATCAGACGATATGTTTAAGTGTTTTAGATTCTGCCAGCTCAAGATCAATGAGGCCCTCTACATCAGCTGGGAAAAAACCTAATTTAAATAAACACATGCCACATTTCAACATTACCGTTACTATTTAGTATCCTCACATTCATTCTTCCTTCCCATTGGTCTAGATTGAATCGCAGTACCTTATCATTATCCTTGTAACACCTTGGCATTTGTTGTTGTGGTCGATTCTTGCGGTTTTAGAGGTTGCGCCCTCTATGTTTGAAAAAGTAAAATAAAGGTCACAGACCGAAGCACGTGTATGGAATGCGTGGAAGAAGGTTTCTCTCGTAGTAGGACGGGAAAATAGGAAATCACAAGTATAGTTTTCTTTCATAATAAGATAAGAGAATGTCAAAATGCATGCTGAGTTTTTCTGGGTATGTAATTGTTATTGAGTAGGATTGTTAACCAAATGATTTTTGGTTCATCTCAAGTTCGATTATAGGCTTGAGAACAGTTAAACTAGGTCAGGTGTAGGCGACGAGCCTAAGAATAATGAAATATCAATGAAAAGAGGCCTAGGCCTACGTCATCTTATTGATTATATTTCATAATGTTTGAGGATCTATCATAGTGTTAATGTTCTAGGAGTAGGCACTGTTGTAAGCTCTTTATTTTATTTTAAAATACCTTGCGCATGCCATTGAGATTGCTATGTAATTAATATTATGCTATTGTTAGCAGCATTAGGAGGCTGACTTAGTTCGGTTGTTATTGAGCGTACTAAAGGTTTAGACGCTATACGCGCGATGCGCTCGTTGTTTATTTTTTCCGATCATGTATTGTTGATGATCATTTGTTTTATCAATATTGTATACACTACTGTGTTTGGGTTTCAGGTTATAGGAGCCTAGAATTATTGTAAACTGATTGGTCATAATTGTTATACAGAGAAGGCAAAATTTTACGGTAATTTCATACTTTCAATAATGTTGTCAACATACATCAGGCATTCTATGCACAGTATTTTATATTATTTGTAATGTTTATAAACCACAGTTTGGATGACTGATAATAATGATGTTATTATTTGTTAACACAAGTACACATTGGTGCATATATAAGGTTGAATTACTGTTTGATATTTATTTGCTTTTGTAGCAACGCACACAATCACTCACTCACTCTCACTCTCTGTATGATTGTGCTGTCGTTGACTGTCGTTTGTTGTTGAGTGCTGAAGGAAATAAAGGAGTTGAAGTTTAGCGACTAGTCGTTTCTCGTTATTTGTTACTCTCCGTCACGACCGATCCATGGTTTCCAAATACCCCTGGAGTCAGCCAGTCCTTGCAAACAATTCTTCAAAAGCAGGGTGAAGTACGTTCACAATTCGCCATCCAGTCAAGTCTGTCTAAAAGAGAATTACACCCATTTAATGGTAAACCAAGAGATTATGGACGGTTTATGCGAGCCTTTGAATATGAAGTAGAAAGAAAGGTTTTAAACAACAAGGATAGGCTATTATTATCTGGAACAATATACCACTGGTGATGTTAATAGATTGGTCAGGAGTTTTATAGCGATGGATTCTACAAGGGGTTATACGGAGGCAAAAAGGGCTATAGCAAAAAGTATGGGGATCCCTTCAAGTTAGCAAATGCATATCTGAATAAGATAAGAGGACATCCTGTTATTAAACCTGAAGATGGAAAATCTCTTTCAGAATTCTCACTTTCTTTGCTGGAATGCAAAAACGTAATGACTGATCTGGACCACCTTAGTGAGCTAAACAATACTAGCAGCATTCAAGAATTGATGATGAAACTTCCTTTCAAGATTAGAGATCGTTGGAGGTCTAGAGGTCTACAAGAGTGCAAATTCAGGAGAAGAGGAGAGTAGAGTTGAACGATTTTGTTGAGTTCGTAGAAAGACAGGCTAAGACGTTAGATAACCCTACCTTTGGGAACATAAAAGATGAAAGGCCTAAAGTAGCGTCAGAACAGAAAGACAGTAGAGGCAATGGTCCTATAAGAAGCAGCTTCGTCAGTCTAGAATCAACAGATACAGAGGAGTCTACACTGAGAAAGAAAGAATGTCCATATTGTAAGCAGTCAAATGTTGGTTAGGAGCTTGTGTGGCCTTCGAAAGGTTGAAAAGAGAAGGGAAGTTAAATTTTCTGACTAAGGAGCGACGATGTTATGGTTGTCTGGGTAGAGGACATCAATCGAAAGAGTGTACTCGACGTCATACTTGCAGTAAATGTAAGCTGAAACATCCTACTACTCTCCACAGAGATGATATGTCTCCTAAAAACCAAGGTGGTCGTGGCTCTTTGCTAAACCATCCACACCCATTAGGCAACAGCAATGTTGCATCAGCATGTTTGGATGAAGATCCTGATTGTGCCTTAGCGGTGGTTCCAGTAATAGTATTGATAAATGGTCGTCAAGCGAGTACGTATGCGTTGCTCGACCAAGGAAGCAACATTTCCTTCATTTCTGAGAAATTAATGGCACAGTTAGGTGTAGGAGGTACGAAGGGTTCCATTTCCTTCAAAACAATGGGAGTGCCTCACACTGCCAAGTCGAATTAGTGAAGGGATTAACTATACAGTCTCTTGAGGGTAACGATAAGAAAGTGACCATTCTTAGCCTTCTCAAAAAAGGACATACCTGTGGAGGAAAATCTGATACCAACCCAGGAGGAGGTGGACAAATGTCCCCACCTAAAAGGAATTAAGTTTAATCGTATTGATGCTGAAGTCGGCCTACTCATTAGCATGAAGGTACCAGGAGCATATACTCCACTCGAACTGAGGACTGGTATGGAAGACACGCCTCATGCAACGAGAACTAGACTAGGATGGATTGTGTGGGGGCTGTTAAGGAACAATACATCTGTTCACTATGCTTCTCATAGAACGCATTTGGTAGACTATGCTCCCATAGATGATGAGAAGCTGGAAGGTTTGTTTCAGAGATCATTGGAAATGGACTTTCCAGAAAAGGGAATTCTCACTCACGAACAACAACCTTTGGTCGAAGATCGGGAATTCATTTCCAAGGTTGAGAAAAGCATTACTATGATTGATGGTCATTACTGTGTTGCACTTTCATTTAAGAACGATCATGTAAAATTACCGAACAACAGGTATGCGGTAGAGAAGAGATTGAAATCGTTGCAGAAACGACTGGCAAGGGATTGTAAATACAAGCAGGAGTATTGTTCATACATGGACATGTTAATAACCAAAGGGTTTGCGGAGAAGGTTCCAGAAGATGAATTAGCAAGGGATGGAGAGTACTGGTATGTTCCGCATCATGGAGTCTACCACTCACTGAAGCAAAAACTCAGAGTAGTATTTGACTGTGCTGCCAGGTCTGAAGGCGTGTCTTTGAATGATTGTCTCCTTCCAGGCCCAAACCTCACTAACAGTTTGTTGGGGGTGTTGTTGCGTTTTAGGCAAGGCAAGGTAGCTCTAATTGCCGATATTGAAAATATGTTTTGTGTGAAAAAATATTGAAAAAAAGTGTTAGTGCCAGAGAAAGATCGAAACTTCTTAAGATACTTGTGGCAGATGGTACTCCAGATGTCTTTAGAATGAAGGTGTACATATTTGGTGCGACATGTATTCCGTCTTGTACCAATTTCACATTGAAGAAAACCGCCGAAGATAACAAGCATGATTATTCCCCAGAGGTAATTGACACAGTAAAGAAGAATTTTTATGTAGATGATCTTCTCAAGAGCTTGGATAATCCAGAGATAGCTATCCAAATGATTCAACAACTACAGATGCTTTGTTTACGTGGTGGATTTAACCTGACTAAATGGTCTAGTAGTAACAAAGAGGTCATCAATTCAGTACATGAAGATCAGCGGTCGAAGGAGTTAAAGGGTCTTGATTTGACAGAGGAAACGATACAAAGTGAGCGTACTTTAGGTGTGAGATGTGACTTGGAAAATGACACGTTCCAACTTAGTCCACCCAGAGTAACGAGTCAGGAACAACCATGGACTAGAAGAAGGCTCCTATCTATCGTCAGTGCAGTGTTTGACCCGATGGGGTTACTGTCTCCAGTTGTGTTGCCGGCTAAGATAATATTTCAAAAACCTATTAGTTTGAATGGCTCTGATTGGGATGATGAATTTCCAGAGGAACTACAGAAGGAATGTATAAAATGGTGGCATGAACTGCAATTGCTGAAAGATGCTGTAATGCCCAGGTGGCTCAAACTGCAAATGTCAGTTGCATGTGTTTAGCGACGCATCAACAAAAGACTATGGTGTCGCGCTGTATGTGAGATTGATCAGTTTTGAAAAAATACGGAGTACTGTTCACCTGCTTTCAAACGAGAGCGGTATATCTAGAGGTAGCACGTTCATTAAAAAGGTGCTTGGCAAGACGTGGTCATGGTGTTAAGGGTATCACATCAGATAACGGAACGAATTTAGTGGGTTCTAAGTCAGAGCTGCAACAGGCACTTAGCAACATATATCGCGTTACACTGCATGAGCAGATGTCGGCGAATAATATCGACTGGACGTTCAACCCTCCAGCGGCCTCACAATTCGGAGGTGTGTGGGAGCGTTTGATTCGATCGTCACGCAAGGTGTTATATGGAGTTCTTAAGGAACAACCCCTAAAAGTTGATGATGAAGGATTAACTACATTGTTCTGTGAAGCAGAATACATTATGAATAGTCGCAAACTCACTATCAACCAGTTCACTCCAGATGATTTGGATCCCATAACGCCCAATCACTTATTGATTGGAGCAAACTCAGCTGCGTATGCTCCATGTGTATTCAATAAGAATGATATAGTAAAAAGGTGGCGTCAAGTCCAGTATCTTACTGATCTTTTTTGGCGGCGTTGGAAAAGTGAATATTTGTCAACATTACAGGAACGTCATCAATGGCAACGGTCGAGACGAAACATTGCTGCAGGAGATATCGTCTTGATTAAAGACAACAGTCCAAGTCGCATTGGCCGTTGGCAAAAGTGGAAGAGGTTCACTATGGAAACAATGGTCTCGTTAGATCGTGTGTAAGGTGCTCACAAAGACATCAAGCTTGACCAAACCCTTTGAACAGCTTGTAATACAGCTAGAAGCCGATGTAGGTTTAAAAACAAAATAAAAAAAAATAAAAATAAACATGCATAATCTTTAACTCTCTTCCTTTTCAGTGTTATTGGCGCTACATTTACATAGTTTTGGGTTAATGTTTGAATTGTGACCTATATTTTGAGGTATAATATATGATGTTTAAACTTTAGGGTTGCTAATGCTCACTTAGGTTTGCATTAGGAGGGCCGGTGTTGTGGTCGATTCGTGCGACTTTAGAGGTTGCGCCCTCTATGTTTGAAAAGGTAAAATAAAGGTCACAGACCAAAGCATGTGTGTGGAATGCGTGGAAGAAGGTTTCTCTCGTAGTAGGACGAGAACATAGGAAAAAAAGTATTTTTCATAATAAGATAAGAGAATGTCAAAATGCATGCTGAGTTTTTCTGGGTATGTATTTGTTATTGAGTAGGATTGTTAAACAAATGATTACAGTTGGTTCATCTCAAGTTCGATTATAGGCTTGAGAACAACTAAACTAGGTCAGGTCTAGGCGACGAGCCTAAGAATTATGAAATATCAATGAAATTAGGCCTAGGCCTACGTCATCTTATTGATTATATTTCATAATGTTTGAGGATCTATCATAGTGTTAATGTTCTAGGAGTAGGCATTGTTGTAGGCTCATTATTTTATGTTAAAATACCTTGAGCATGCCATTGAGATAGCTATGTAATTAATATTATGCTATTGTTAGCAGCATTAGGAGGCTGACGTAGTTCGGTTGTTATTGAGCGTACTAAAGGTTTAGACGCTATACGCGCGATGCGCTTGTTGTTTATGATTTCCGATCATGTATTGTTGATGATCATTTGTGTTATCAATATTGTATGCATTATTGTGTTTGAGTTTCAGGTTATAGGAGCCTAGAATTATTGTAAACTGATTGGTCATAATTGTTATACAGAGAAGGCAAAATTTTACGGTAATTTCATACTTTCAATAATGTTGTCAACATACATCAGGCATTCTATGCACAGTATTTTATATTATTTGTAATGTTTATAAACCACAGTTTGGATGACTGATAATAATGATGTTATTAATTGTTAACACAAGTACACACTGGTACATATATAGATTGAATTACTGTTTGATATTTACTTGCTTTGTAGCAACGCACACAATCACTCACTCTCGTTTGTTGAGTGCTGAAGGAAATAAAGGAGTTGAAGTTTAGCGACTAGTCGTTTCTCGTTATTTGTTACTCTCCGTCACGACCGATCATTTGTTTTCAACATGCAGTGAATATTTGTAAACTTTAAGCATAGCTTAGAACAACTACTGTGTTCATTCATACAGTGTTTTGGTTTATTATCATGAATTGGTATGTCTAGTCAGCACGACACAGGATGTCTAGCATTTAGCCATACCTGTTTGTAAGCTGTAGACATAGGAGACAATTACATACAGTTATTATACATTTGGATACACCCAGGAGACTGTGAAATACCTTAATGTGTACACCGTTCTTTGAATCATTCAGTTTATACCATTGATAATTCGTTATTTTAAACCGTTGGAAAACTACACCGTAAGAAATAAATGAACGCGTAAACAATAGGCTGGGTACGACTATGAATTTTGTTTGCACCGCTTTTAACGTTTAGCGACGTTACAGTTCAAAATCAAGTTCAGTATTAGTGTTATAAAATCAGAGACTGAAATAATGTGAATCATGGCAAGCAGTAGACCTACATATGAGCTGGAAGATATGATTGCACACTACAAGTCCAGATGTAGTCATGCTAAGGGAGCTGTGACCCGCGCCATGACCACAATACAAAAACTGATGTCAACAAATGAAAACCTTTTGGAAATTAAGTTGGGCATGATTGAATTTAATACTATTGTGAAGGAATTTGCAAAGGCACATGAGGATTATTACATACTTCTTACAGATGAAAAGCTAAAGCATGAAGCGGAATAATATAGAAAGCAATTTGTAGAAAATGTAACTTGTTTCATTGAGGATACAAATGTTTGGATAACTGGTATTGACTATTCTGGGGACACACATTTGTCTGTTTCAGAACTCGGTAAGACCTCCGACGTCTCTACAACATTGAGCACTTTTGATAAAGCACGAGCTAGGGCAAAGGCTGAGAAAGCAGCACTTGAAGCTGAAATTCAGGCTTTATCTGAGTAAAAGGCCCTTAAAAAGAAGCAATTTGAGCTCAGAAGAATTAAAGAATTGCGCCAAATGGAACTTGAGAGACAACGATGTCGTTGCTGGATTTAGAAATGAAAAAAAACATTACTCAATGATTGAGATGGAAAGAAAAGAGTTGGAACTTAAACACCGACGCCAAGTGTCATATTTAAGTGCCAAAGTAGCAAAGGCTGATGCAGTACAGAAAGTATATTCTGATGTGATTGATTCTGATGCTGGAGTGCGTTTCACTCACTCTACACCAAATGATGTATGCTTGCCGACAATATATAATCCTCGGAATGAAGGGTCCACTAATACTCTTGCAAGCCCTACACCTAAACCAGTTTGTCCTGGGAACCTTCAGCTGTGCAAAAAATGGAAACACAAGTACCGAATGTCTCAGAGCAAGCATCTGAGCTGACATACGCTATACGGTACATCAAAAGTTAAAAGACTCAAAATTACACCAGCAATCACTTGTGGAGGCCTAGCAATTGCCAAAGAACGAGTTGCCAGTGTTTGTTGGCGATCCGTTAAAGTACTGGTCATTTATCAGAGCTCTCGACAATACTTTTGATAAAAAATCCAAAGATGATAGAGCAAAGCTTATGAGTCTGATCCAATTTTGCACCGGAAAAGCCAAGAAATTACTCAAATGCTGCCTGATTAAGGAACCAAGTAACGGTCACGTACCTCTTAGCTATAAATTATAGAAATTGCTAAAGGAAAGATTTGGCAACAATGATACAATTGCACAGGCATGCATTGATAAAATTGTGAAACGCCCAGAAGAAAAAAGTTCTCCTGATTTGCAGAATTTTGCGGATGAGTTGAAAAGTTGTCAGGAAACCTTAGCGTCTATGGGTTTTCTAAGCGAAATGCAGAATCGTAGAAGTCTTTGTCAAATTGCAGAGAAATTACCAAATTACTTGAAAACTCGGTGGTTGAAAAAGAATCAGGATATAAAGTTTGAAAAAAATCGAAATCCAAGATTGGATGACTTGATTTTGTTCATCACTTCAGCAAATGATCCCATATTTGGTAAATTAATCCAGAAAGAGAAGCACACCATCGCACATGATAAGCGAAACCCAAAGGGAAGCTTTTCTGTACAGTCAAAACCTGTTACCTTGCCGAAAAACCCATAAATCAATATTATAACAAGTCGTACACTAAGTGCTACTAAATATACCGGTAAGCCGAAAGATATTTGTATATATTGTGGACAGAACCATGTTGTTACCTACTGCAAATCTTTTAAGGCATTGCGAGGGCTAGTCTATGTTCGATCAAAGTCGTTATGTGTTAATTGCTTTAAACCTGGACACTGTGAAGGATTGCACACGAACGTTTACTTGTACCAATTCCTGCACATTCCACATCAAAAAGATACACAAGATCGTGGTAATCCTTTCACCACATCTACTGTACCCGAGACGTCGCAACAAAAATTACCACCAGCGTTCGTACCAAGTTCTACAATCAAGAGTAACTTTATTCATGTGCAGAATAAAAAGGTTGCGTTGCCTATTGTTGCTGTTCGTGTACGTGGTAATGATCAACACACCTTTGTAGACACCTATGCCTTGGTTGATCCAGGTGGCACTGCCAGTTACTGTACTGATGAGTTAGCCAAGACATTTGGAGTGAAGAGAATGGAGTGTATGGTAGAGCTCACCACAATTGAGCAAAGTAAGCTTTTAATAAACACCGAATCGGTAGACATTTCTGACTTGCAAGATACTTGCCATACATTTATGTCACAGGTTACTGTAAGGTCATTTTTTGAAAATTTGGTTTGTAGAGAAGAGTTATCAAAGTGGCCGCAACTGGCTGATATAGAGCTAGCAGTCCTCAAGAATTCGAAGATTCAACTTCTCATTGGACAAGATATGCCTGACTTGCTCTGTCCACATGAAGTACGCAGAGGGAATCCAGGGAAACCCTTTAGAGTGTGGACGGTCCTGAGCTGGGCCATAAAC